CATGCTTGGCATTTCTCAAGCGGAAAGAACTAAAGAAAAAATTCAAGCCTGAGTCGTGATATTGAAGGATTCTATGGGCAAAATATTGAACGATGCAGGAAGAATCAAAAGAACATGGAAGGGATACACAGTCACTCTACCAAAAAGAACTGGTAACCATTCAATCATTTCAGGAGATACCGTACGATCAAGAACCGATAGTACTGAAGGAAGAAGTTGCAGCTGCACTGAAGACATTTTCGAAAAACAAGGCTCCAGGAGATGTTTCAACAAAGGGATGCAGCACTGGAAGTGCTCACTCATCTATGCCAAGAAATTTGGAAGACAGCTACCTGGTCAACCAACTGGAAGAGATCCATATTTGTGCCCAATCCAAAGAAAGGTGATCGAACAGAATGCGGAAATTATCAAAACAATATCATTAATGTCATACATAAGTAAAATTTTGCTGGAGATCATTCAAAAGCGGTTGCAGCAGTCAATTGTCAGGGAACTGCCAGAAATTCAAGCCAGATTCAGAAGAGGATGTGGAACGAGGGATATCATTGCTGATGTCAGACGGATCTTGGCTGAAAGTAGAGAATATCATAAAGAGGTTTAGCTGTGTTTCATCCACTATGCAAAGGCATTCGACTGTGTGGATCATAACAAATTATGGATAATACAGCAAAGAATGGGAACTCTAGAACACTTAATTGTGTTCATGTGGAATCTGTATATAGACAAAGCAGCAGTCATTCGAACAGAACAAGGGGATAGTTTGTGGTTTAAAATCAGGAAAGGTGTGCATTAGGGTTGTATCCTTTCACCATACTTATTCAATCTGTGCTGAGGAAATGATCTGAGAAACTGGACTATACGAAGAACAGGGACTCAGGATTGAAGACTCATTAACAACCTGCATTATGCACATGACACAACCTTGCTTGCTGAAAGTGAAAAGGACTTGAAGCACTTACTGATGAAGATCAAAGACCACAGCCTTCAGTATGCATTACACCTCAACAAACAGAAAACAAAAACACTTCACAAGTGAACCAATAAGCAACATTATGATAAACAGAGAAAATACTGAAGTTGTCATGGATTTCATTTTCAGGGGCCTAAATAACATTTGGCCTGGCTTTCTTATCAAACTCCAACCTCCTCATAATCACTGACAAGGCTGAATGTTGTGGTTCCTGCCTGCCTCTCCAACCCTGTATAAATACTCCACTGACACTTGCTCATACAGCCCAATTACAATGGCCTTCAGTTCTTCAAAAAAAGCCATCTGTCCCCTCTTATTAGAGCCTTCAAAAATTTCTTCTCTCTGCCTAGAATTTTCTTCTTTAATAACACATTAAATAACAAGTTCTAATAGTGAGACTAGTATTACTAGAGTAATTCTGAAGTAGTGATAAGTATAAATGATATTTTCAATATGTCTGCAACAGTAAAATGATAGGTAAATATTTGTGATTTATATTCATGTAGAAGTCACAAGAACTGCTAATACTACTATGGTTTGTCCATACATCATAATAAAAAATGCTCAATTTTAGTTAGACATTACTAAAAATAAAGACGTCTTTTCTTTTAATCCAAGTTCATGGATCCCCTAATTCTATCAAAAGGAATCCAAGGTTAGCAACTTCTGAGTTCAAGCGAT